GTGATTGGTTGGGAGGAAGTAGTGACTAGCATAAACCTACATGCTAGGCTACAATGAGAGGGAAGGAAAACTGTGTTTCTTTATCGAACTTTTATCGACTCATTTTTTCTATTGCGGCACACGTCTATCGATCGATATATATCGTTATTGAATTATCGCCCAGCCCTAATTAAATTAAATTAAATTTAGTAAGCAGATAAATGGAGGCAGAAGATGTCTTTCAGTCATCAATGCACTCATTCAGCGACACACAGGAGCTCTTTCAAGCTGGGCACCGTTTCATTCACAACACCTGTCCCATCAACCAGGAATCAGAATCAGAAATACTTTAATAATCCCAGGGAGACATTTCTTTAGTTACATTACTCCATCTGTAACAGATTGACTATAGGACCAGTTTTATATAACAGTATTTCATACTATATATATAATTAGGGGGTCCCCACTGCATCTCGCCATCAGTTTGGGAGACCTTGTCCTGGAAAACGTTGGAAGACTCCTGCTTTACAATGTCAGAAAGCATCTTTAAAAGTTAAATATTTTGCCTTTTATTTATAGGATTTTACTTTTTTTGCGTAAATGATCGACTTTATTATCCGAGAATTTCCAAGTTTATCTCTGGAACGTGTGTGATATTCCTTTCGTCTGCCAAATGCTCTCTGGTAACTCGATATATCTGCGATGGTTCAAGCTTCACATCATGAATCTCCCCTAAACTCTTCAAAGGTTTTTGCTTCACAATCCTCTCAAGGCTGCAGTTATTCCTTTGTGCATATTTCTCTTCTGCCCTTTTTCCCTCCACTTAACTTTCCGTCGATATGGAAAGTATGAGAATAGAGCCCTCTGATACTCTTTTCTTATGTTTGTTTCACTTTTTTTAACTGAATCATCAGTTTACCTTACTTTTCTTGAACTTCTCTATAATCTTAACCAATGACAGAGTCAAAGACATCATTTGAATCGATTTCTGGATGTTGCCTCTGAGGCTCTGACTGTCAACAGATGTGGATAAAGCCACTTTTTTTGTTTTTGCAGGTATCTTTTAACCCGTTATGCTGAGTCTCTGGGTCAGTTCGCTGCAGCTTCGCAGTCCTGCAACTTCTCCCTCAGGTTTTTCCACTCCAACCAGAAAGATGTAAGTTCACCCACTCTAAATTTCAGAGTCCTCCGGTGCTCCTAACTCTCTAAATAATGTTTGTCCTTCTTTTTCTAGACCTCAGAGTACATCATTCAGGCGTACAAGTACGGGGCTTTTGAAAAAATCCCAGAGTTCATTGCTCTCAGGAACAGGCTGAACCAATCGCTGCACTTCGCCCAGGTTCGCACTGAAAGGATGCTGCTGGACTTGTTCCTTGAGGCTGATATGTAAGCGCAGACCAGACATGCAGAGTTAAAAACTGTTTGTTTCCGGGTGATTCTTATTTGATTGAGAGTTGTCTTTGTTTTTCAGCATCTTGAGTCTAGAGGAAAGTGTTAAGGCCATGTCTTTGTCTTCAGAGGAAGACGATATCCCCTGGGATAGTTTAAGGGACAACCGGGACCTTACTGTATTTACAAACTGGGACCCCAAAGAAAGGTGTGGAAACGTTTACTTTTAAAGAAACAAACACGGAGCTCAGTGAAGCAACATGCCGGCTGTTTTTCTCACACAGACAATTAACCGATGAGCAGCGGACTCGGTCAATGGAGGAGGAGTCCGTTTGGCTGCGGATACGCTCCCTGACGCTTCGCTTGCTCGCCTCGCTCACGGCGTCAGGACACGCTCCCTCACAGCAAAACTCTGAGATTTCCAACGAGAACGGAGTCGGAGACAAAAGCTCGCACCTGCGCAGCCTGCTGCCCGAGCTCAACGAGACGCTACAGATGGCAGCGCAGATCGCAGAAAAACACATACAGGTACAGATTAAGGAAAGCTCTGATTCCTGCTAATCTCTTGGTTTTATCATATCGCTCTATGATATGACTTAGTTTATTTGAACTTCAGACTTTTTATTCTTAGACTTCCCTGTTTCTACCAGTGTGCCTCAGGGTTCAGTCCTTGGGCTCCTCTTTTTCATCAATAAACCAATTTCCTGCTTTCATCTTCCATAAATTTGGGTTTCTATTTTCATTAACTGTCTCAGTAAACCAGATATGAAAATCCATCACCTTTCATACCTACTATTTTTAAACACTTCAAGTCGTAGGGAAGTGGCTGTTCCAAGCTTAACATTTCCGAACTCTCCCGATTGGTGCACGACTTTACACGAGTGAATAAAGTGAATGTGGTTGATTATCAAGGGGGCGGGATTGTTGTGGCGGAAGGTTCGGTCATAGGTTCACAATCACGTGTGGTTGTGGCTGGTTTCTTGGAAGCATCTTGCTAACCAGTTAACAACTTAGTGCTAGTAGGTTCCCAATGGGAATTCCATTGGGACCAAGTAGCACTAAATTGGTCACTTAGCAACAACACAGTCAAGGAACGCTATGGACAGAGGAAACATGCATGCGGAGGAGAGTTTAGTGTCGGAGGTCGTGGATGAGTCTCCTCCATCATAGATTTTTTATTTAGAGGAGGAAAATGGGGACGAAGATGTTGTAGAAGAGGACGCCAGGGCGGCAGAAACTTGGTTTGGTGTAGAAGGCTTCCAGCCGTACATGTTTGAGCCCTTGCCTCGCAACGCTGCCAGTTCTGTTAGCTCTACGCCTGCTGAAGACACAGACGTCCATCCCCGTGAACACTGGGACGGAACTCAATGGGAAAATAAATGATTCTTATTTCAACTGTTGCGTATATTGGCTTCGACATATGAATCAAGATGCTATGACCGAAAAAATATGATTGACTGATGACCGTTGATATGCGATTGGCTGGATTTAGGTGTTCTGGCTGACGTATAACTAATGATAAAATAATGAAAGAAAACCCCCCCCACCGATTTTAAGACAGGAGTTCTACATTTTGAGACAATATGGTGTGATAAAGAGTACATTTATATACATATTTAAGCCAGAATGATTTGGCGTTTAAATATGACTTCCCTACAGCTTTAAGTTAAAAATATCATCACTAGATTGTTTATAAGAACCCTAAGTGGTCTCAGGAGGTGAATGAAACCGTACTGTCGCTGATTGGGATTTCGTCTTGCAGTGGTGCTGCAGAAATTTCAGCCCTAATATGAACGACACGCGTTAGGGCCCATATGTTCATGTTCCGGGCCCCATCCAAGGCTGGCAGCTGCAGTTTTCCACTGAAATTACCCAAAAATAAGAGAATCAAAGTGTTGCAGTTAAAAGGGCACTGAAATAAGTTCTGGTCTTATTGGGTCGTATCCGGATCGTTGCCTCATTATTCTGTGAAGGGGAATGAAGGACCAGTTTGGCCTGTATTCTATAACAATAGCAATTGTTTTGTTATTTAATAAATGATTCTCCTGTTGGTTAAGTTTTCTTCTTCTGCTTTCAGTACCCCCTCCTGGGCCCCCCCTCCACCCGGCTAGCCTCGGCGCTGTCCATCGGCAGCTGTCAGTGTCAGGCCGCAGCCCTGCAGCTGTCGGTCCATCTGCAGGAGCTGGAGTCGGCGGGACTCGGTAGGAGAAAATTACCTCCCCTTCAAAGCCAGCTGAAGAGCTGTTTGCTGTTTCTCAGCTGACGCTTCCTGTGTTTATGTATTCTTTTTTTCTCAGACGAATCGTCGGAGCTTCAGACTCAAATCTGTAACGTTTTTAAATCGTTGGTAGTTCAGCTTCAAGGTGAGGTATCAGCAGGTTTCCCTTTTAGCCTCTGCTCTCTGTTTTGTTTAATATGCTTCATAGTTCTCTGCTTTTTCTACAGAAATGCTTAATAAATGCAAAGGGGACTTATTGGAAATGAAAGAGAGCAAATTGAAAACCCAACCCTCCTTATTAGAAAATCTAGTTTTCTTTGTTGAGGTAAAACTCTACACCTCTTTGTCCCCTCATAGTTTTTTTTTTTTTTTAGTTTGTTTCTCCCTCTGAATTTGACTCAGACGCTTTGATTGGGTTATTCTTTAGACAGTCAGCATAGTGTTGTGGACCGCTAGCTACTGTGCCAAGATCCTACGACCGCTTAAAACAAGTTTACAGAAGAAGAAAAAGAAGAAAAAGGATGCCAACTCAGCTCAGGTAGACCCTCCGTCTCTGTTAGTTGAACTCTAATTGTCTGAGATCGTTTCTGGACTCGTCTAACATCCACACCTTGGTCCTCTGTCCTGTAGCCGTTGGTGGTCTGTGGATTCCAGGAACTGAGTGGGAGCTTGCAGGAACTACTCAACCAGGCAGCGGAGCACATCAGAGGGCAAGAGTCTGGCATTACAGCCCAAAAGCTGGCCAGTTTAACCTTGGAAGGATTCTCACAGGTAATGATCATTCTTAATGAAGAAGGAAAATATCATGGCTGTTAAAAACAAACATATCCAACTATTGACCCACTTTAGGATTAGATCTCCTTTCCATCACCCTAATCCTTAGTTCTCTTCAAAGTTTTTCTGTCAAATTTATGTTCATTAATGGGTTTTTAAAACTATTATTGATAAATATAATAATAAATCAATATGTGACGTGGCGTAAAGGCACTTAAGGCTGTTAGATATTTCACCAAGTCAACCTCACATGGGCACAATGCAGTAATCATCACATTTATTTATTCCAATTAAGACTGATGTAGTTGAATCTTTCTTGTGAAAGTTTTTTCTTAACCACTAGATGGCCTCAGTGAGCATTTAATGCAACAGTAGGAATACAGATTTGAACAAAGCCTCATCTCATAACTACGACAGAGTATTAGGGCCACACATGAAGAGAAAAAATATTTTTGCCATGACGAGATTAAACTCGACATGACGACATTAAACTCAACATTTCGAGAATAAAGTTGAAATGTCATGTTGAGTTTAATATCGACGTGTTAAACTCGCCCTGTCGACTTTAAACTCGGCATTTCGAGAATAAAGTTGAAATGTCATGTTGAGTTTAATATCGACGTGTTAAACTCGCCCTGTCGACTTTAAACTCGGCATTTCGAGAAT